GAGGAGGAGGACGAGGAGGGGAGGCGGAGGATGAGGAGGAGGAGGAGGAGGAGGAGGCGGAGGAGGAGGAGGAGTGGGAGGAGAAGGAGGAGGAGGAGGAGGAGGAGGAGGAGGAGGAGGAGGAGGAGGAGGAGGACGAGGAGGACGGGGAGGAGGGGGATCAGAGTAAGCCCAGGATTCATCAGCGATGCTGCAAGACGCCTTCCACTCTCAGGACCCCTTGATATTCCCGTAGCAGCATGCTTTTGAGCCCTCTGGAAGCGGCCCGTTGAAAACCGAGCGATGACGACGACAGTGTTTATTCTGTCAACGATACTGATGATGCTGCTGCTGAGGATGATGATTCTGGTGATGCAGATGATGCTGATGATGATTCTGATGCTGATTATGATGATGCTGCTGATGATGATGATGCTGGTTATGCTGAGGATGCCGCTGAGGATGATGAGGATGGTGCTGGACGTGATGGTGATGCCGATCATGACTATGATGACGATGACGATGATGAACACGACGACTACGATGACGATGACGATGATGATGATGATGATGACGATGATGATGATGATGATGATGATGATGATGATGATGATGATGATGATGATGATGATGATGATGATGATGATTACTATGATGATGATGATGATGATGATGATGATGATGGTGATGATGATTGTGATGCTGATGCTGATGATGATGCTGCTGCTGATTATGATGATGGTGCTGGTGCCGATGAGGATGCGAACGGCGATGGTGGTGATGGCGATGATGATGACGACGCTGATGCTGATACTGATGATGATGATGCTGGCGCTGATGCTGATGCTGATGATGATGATGCTGACCCTGATTCTGCTGATGCTCATGATGCTGATGCTGATGATGATGATGATGATGATGATGATGATGATGATGATGATGGTGGTGGTGGTGGTGGTGGCGATGATGCTGATGATGATGACGATCACGACTACGACGACGATGACGATCAAGATGAGGATTCTGGTCATTATGCTGTTGATTGTGATAGTGATGAATCTGATTATGATGAAGACGATGCTGATGCTGATGGTACTGGTGGCGATGCTGGTGATGGTGATGATGATGGAGATGATGACGATGCTGATGATGCCGATGAAGATGCTGATGATGATGATGATGATGATGATGATGATGATGATGAAGATGATGATGATGATGATGATGATGATGATGATGATGATGATGATGATGATGACGATGATGATGATGATGATGATGATGATGATGATGACGACATTGTTGATGCTGATGCTGATGCTGATGATGATGATGATGATGATGACTATGATGCTGATGTTGTTGATTATGGTGTTAGCAACGATGATGATGCTGATGATGATGCTGGTGCTGCCGATGATGCTGATGCTGCTGATGATGATGATGATGATGCTGCTGCTGATGATGATGATGATGATGATGATGATGACGATTACGATGATGCTGATTCTGATGATGATTATGATGATGCTGCTGCTGCTGATGATGATGCTGCTCATGCTGATGATGCTGATGATGGTGATGATGGTGGTGATGATGAAGATGATGCTCATGCTGATGCTGATGACGATGCTGCTGCTGCTGATGATGATGATGATGCTGATGATGATGATGATGATGATGATGATGATGATGATGATGATGATGATGATGATGATGATGATGATGATGATGATGATGGTGGTGCTGCTGCTGCTGATGATGATGGCGATGATTGTTATGATGAGTAGGAGGAGGAGGAGGAGGAGGAGGAGGAGGATGCTGCTGCCGCTGCTGCTGCTGCTGCTGCTGATGATGATGATGATGATGATGATGATGATGATGGTGGTGGTGGTGGTGGTGGTTGTGGTCATGATGATGATGGGGATGATGAAACGAATGATTAGCGGGGGGTGGAAGGCACAAGTGAGTTGGAAACTCAGGTCGTCTCTGTAAAAGCCCACCGTGGCCCCAAGATGTTGCTTTCCATGCGGCTTCGGGACCCCCCCCAAAAGATGGCCGCCGACGCGCCCATGATGCCCTCAATAGGCCCTGGGAGGGCCCCGAGAGGACCACCCAGAGGGCATTCCGATCCAATATGTCGTTTTCTCTTGAAGCTTCCCTTGACATCCACATTCGCGCTTCATGAAGTTTCTGAAAGCCTCAGACGGCCCATGAGGTCATTCCGACGCCTCCAAAAACGCCCTCAAGAAGAAGCTCCCTGGACCCGTCAGTGGCCAACAATCCTCCAAGTACATCCTGTGCTCTCCTCCGCGAGCCTCCTCTTGAATGCTCCTTCTGGACCCTCCTCCCTTTCTGATCCCTCTTTCCAACTATCCTCGGCGTCCCTCCTGGTCTCTCCTGATCCGGCTGAATCTGAGGTTCCCACCTCGGCCTCCTGCTCCAGCGTCTCTCCCACTGCTCATGGTGTTGCTGATACCGCAGCTGATGTTCCTCGGGGCCTCACGTTTCCTGGTTTTCTGAAGCAGCGTGTGCAGGCGTACCTCCTGCCACTCTGCTTTCCAAGTTCGCCTCCACACTGGGGTTCAGACGTTGCCCGGTTCTGTGCTATAACCTAAGCGCGCGCTAAGCGCGCGGGTGGTTCTAGTACATGTGTATGTATGCATGTCTGTCTGTCTGTCACTCTGCCTGCCTGCCTGCCTGCCTGCCTGCCTGTCTGTCTGTCTGTCTGTTTGTCTGTCTGTCTGTCTGTCTGTATGTATGCACAGGTTTGTACTTGTATACACATATACACATGTATTGATGCATCTCTCTCTCTCTCTTGCATTCCTGGTAGTTGATCAACTTTCCATTCCTGTTTCTTGTGCTCTCTTGTCTCATCAGCCTTCTCTCTTTCCTCCCTTATTCCCTACCTAGGCTCTGCCTAGAAGGGTTCTTACCCTGTGTGCTTAAAGGGCCGGGCAGTGGAAACCGCCCCGGGCGGTTCCCCCGGCATCCGCCCCGCGGTTCCCCCAGTTACGTCCCGTTAGCTTAGCGTTGCTTATCTCATCTTAGCTTAGCCGAGGTTAACTTAGCTTAGCTTAGCTTAGCTTAGCCTAGTTTAGCTTAGCTTAGCTTAGCTTAGCCTAGCTTAGCTTAGCTTAGCTTAGTTTAGCTTAGCTCAGCTTAGCTTACCGCAACGCAGCGCAGCATTAACATAGCATTAGCATAGCATAGCATAGCATAGCATATCATCGCATAGCGCAACATAGCATAGCGCAGCATAACATAACATCTAATATCATATCATAGCATAGCATAGCTTCAACATATCATAGCATAGCATAGCATATCATAGCTCAGCTTAGCATATCATAGCGCAGCATACCATACCATAACATGTCATATCATAGCATAGCATAGCAACGTGCATCATATCATAGCACAACACATCATACCATATCATAGCGCAGCATAACATAACACAACATATCATCATAACATAGCATAGTACATCATAGCATATCATATCATATCATATAATATCGCAGTATACCATATCATAACATAGCCTATCATACCATAACATAGCGCATCATATCATGACATATAATGTCATAACGTAACGCAGCATATCATAGCATAGCATATCATATCAAATCATGCCATCGCATGTATGTGTATATGTATATGTAGATGTAGATGTAGATGTAGGTGTAGATGTAGGTGTAAACATATGTATACATATGTATACGTGAGTCTCGCTGTTGAGGTTGATGTAGGTGTAGATGCAGGTGTAGATGTTAATGTAGCTGTCAGTGTAGATGTAGATGTTGCTTTACTAGATGCTCCAACTCCTAGGTAGGGTCGCACTGGGATAATTTATCTTCCCTCTTCTGTTTCCCTGGTGAGTTCATTGGGGAAGTCCATTGAGTCCTATCTTCCTCCCCCTCCTGCTCCCATTTCCCTTTGCTCTTGGTGCTCCTCCTTACCCTCCTCCTCGTCCTCCTCCTTCTCCCTCCGCCCCTCTTCCTGCCACTGCCCCTTCCTCCTCCCCCTTCCTGCCTCCTCCCGTTCCCCCTTGTAATGTCCGCGGAGAGGTTGGCGACCGTCTGCTGCAGCGGCTGATGCTGTCGAAGGACCAGAACCCAGTGGACATCTCCAAGACCGGCACGCCACCCTTCCGCTGGCGCCGGTCGTCTTGGTCGTCGTCCTCGTCGTCTCTCCTGCTCCCTCCTCCCTCCGCCTCTTCTTCTGCCTCCCCTCCCTCCTTCCCGCCCTCCTCGTCGTCCCCTTCCTTTCTCCTCCCCCCCTCCGCCCCCCGGCTCACGCCCGCTCCTTCCCACTCCGCCTGCCTCCTCCCCCCTCCTCCCTGCCCCCCTCCTCGTGAGTCAGGGGCCCTCGCCGCCCTGCCTGCAGGAGCACTCGAGGGGGGGCCCTCGCGGAGGCGGGGGCCCTGGCGATGTCCGCTGCCCGCCCGTCGCCGTCGTGCCGTGCCGCGGCCCGTGCTGCGGGGTGCCGCGCTGCCGCGCTGCCGTGCCGTCGTGCCGCGTGCCGTCGTGCCGCGCCGTCGTGCCGCGCCGCGGGCCGCGCCGCGCGCCGCCGTGCCGCGCCGCCGCGCCGCCGCGCCGCCGCGCCGCCGCTCCGCCGCTCGCCGTGCTCGCCGCGCCGCTCGCCGTGCCGAGCGGCGGGCGGCCGAGCCGCCGGCGTCGTGCCGCGTGCGCTCTGCCGTCCTCCTCCTCCTCCTCCTCCTCCTGGCGCTGTGCCCCCACGGCTCCGCCGTGCGGCGCCGCGCCGCCCGCGTCCCCGAAGGAGGAAGGATCACAGTCAGCTCATCGTCTGGGGATGGTTTTTTTACGGCCTGTCTTTGGCTATCGTGGAGTTTTTGCTGCCTCTTTCCCTCCCGAATCCGCCTGTAGCCTCGGGAGGGCATCCCGCGGAGGGCACCCTGCGCGAGGGCCAGCGCCCTTCTGCGAGTGCCCGGACATCGGGCGTCTCGGAAGACTCGAGGTGGAGGCTTTTCGCAGTCTTGGGCCTCCCAGGGCCCTCGCTGGGCCGCCCCAGACATTCTGGGAGTCCTGGAGAAGTCGAGGCGGAGGTTTTTCGTAGCTTTGGAGGTTTTTCGTAGCTTTTGGCCTCTCGGGGTCCTCGCCAGGCCTCGGGACCGTCAAACAACGACTCGGGATGAAAACCCGGTCCCGGGAAAGTGGTCGGGAGGTCGGGGGCCTGCGTCCCGAAAAAATCGCGACGTCGGACGTCTGGGTGGTGGCGGTGGGGGCCAGGCTGGAGGCGACGATTGGGGCGAAGAGCCCAGGGGCGGGCACTACACGTGTTTGCCCACGGAGGCGCGCCGAACGCATGGATCGTTGGCGTTCTTGGATGCACGTCTTGCTCTCCCCGGGGGGCCACTCGCCCCCCTCGTTTTCCCCCGACCAGGGGGCGAACGACGACGAGAAGGACGAATGATCCAGAGGTCCGGGGCCAGGGGGGGCGGGGGCCCAGGCCAGGGAGCCAGAAGGAGGGCCCTGGGGCCGAGGGCCAGAAGGGGGGCCGGGGCCGTGGCCGGAAGGAGGGCTGGGGCCAGGGCGGAGGACCCAGACAGCCGACGTCTCGATCTTCTTCGAGGCACGGGCCTCCGAGCTCCCGACCGCTTCCCTGGGGCCAGCTTCTCTCCTCCCGAGCCGTCTCTTTGGCGGTCCCGAGGCCCGGCGAGGGCCCCGAGAGGGCCCAAAAACTGAGCACAGCACTCCGCCTCGATTTTTTCTCGAGGCGCCCGATGGCTGGGGAGAGAGGGCTGGGGCCAGGGCCAGGGTCGGGGCCCAGTGCTGGGCCTCGGGGCCCCCCCTCTCCTCTTGTCTTACGTCGGGCGTGTCCCTCTGCAGGAGGAATTGTCCAAACTGGTCAACAAAAAAAACTAGCCGGGGGACGATCTTTTTGACTACTCTTGAGCATTTTTGGGGGCATTGTTGGGTACATGTTTCGCCCCAGACTCCCCCTGTAGGGGGACAGGCCCGACCCAACTCTTGCCCTGGGGGCGGCTGCTCGGCGGCACGTCCCCGAGAGGGCGAGCCTGCGGAGCGCGGCGTGCTGGAACACGCGGCCCGCGGCCGCTTGCGAATCGGAGGTTGAGAGCCCTCCTGCCCTCAAGTCGGGCACGTCCCTCCACAGGGGGTATATCCCAAACATATGCAAAAACAGTCAGGGGACGATCTTGGGACTATTTTTGAACTACTGTTTGTGTATTTTTTTTTTCGTCCCAGATCCGCCTGTAGGGGGACACGCCCGACCTAATCCTACCCTGACACGTCGATTAGCGAATTGGCCGTATTCGGTTCGCGAGAGGGCGTCGCGGCCGTCATTTTGGCGGGTCCAGGTCCGTCGGTTTCGGTCCTAGGCCGTTTTCACCAAAGGGTGGTTTACTAAAGGGAGGTTCGCCCACCGCCGAACAAAGATACCGATGCTGCCACCCTCCTCTCGTCGCCACGACTGTACTCGCCTCGGCATCCTGGTCAGAACACGCCTCAAGAGAGGTCCCGGGAGCAGCCGCAGCGGTACATTTTGGGGGCCCCTGGCCACGGGCACCCCGTGGGGGTCTCGCTTGCCGGGGGCGGCCAAGAGGGTGTTGACGACCAGGTGGGGGGTGAACATCATGGCCGGGGCCACGATGTCGGTCCGAAGTGGTTCCTGAACGGTCCGAAGTTGTTGCGATCGGTCGTGGTTGCCCTCTCCCACCGCCTTCCGGACCGCCATCTTCCTCCCCCTCCTCCTCCTCCTCCTCCTCCTTCCTCCTCCTCTTCCTCCCTCCTCCTCCTCCTCCTCCTCCTCCTCCTCTCCCTTTTCTCCCTCACCTCCTCTCCATACCACTCCTCCCGCTCCTCCCCTTTCTCTTTCCGCCGCCTCTTCTCCCTCCACCTCTCGATGCCTCCTCGTCCTCCGGCGTGCCCCCCGGCCTCCCACCTCCTCCTTTCTCCCTTGTCCCTCTCCTCCCTTCGCCGCCTCTTCTGTCTCCGCTGCCTCCTCCGCCGTGTCCTCCCCTCCCCAGACATGAGGCGCCTCGAAAAAATCGAGGCGATTTTTTTTGTCAGTTTATGGCCTCTCGGGGCCCTCGCCGAGCCTCGGGACCGTCAATAAACGGCTCGGGATGAAAAACCGGTCCCAGGGAAGTGGTCAGGGGTCTGAGGCCCGTGTCTCGACAAAAATCGAGACGTCGGATGTCCGGGTCCTCCGCCGTGTCCCCTCGTCATTCCTCCCCAACCCGAACGGTACCCAATCCTGCCTATCCGCTGCTGTTGTAACCTCAAGTCTCTTTTCGTGCCCGAGGCAGCCTTTTCTGACGTGTTAGTTGGGCGAAACGTGATAACCGAGATCTCCTTTCGCAGGGGAACTGATTTATCGCAGCAGCCCTCACATATACCCTCCCCCCTGCTCCCCCCCCACAGGCATCACGCTCCTCAACAACTTGGAGGGCATGCTGCCGCTTCTGGTCGCGCGACGACGACCATGGTGATGGTGGTGGTGATGGTGATGATGGCGACGACGACG